GCGATTGCTCCCGCTCCCGCCCCCTCCGCCTTCGCCATTCACACGTTTCGGCTTGAAACCCTTTTCCTCCGTTCGGATCTTCTTGGCGGGATGCGGATCGCGGCTGCTCGTACTGGAAGAAGAGGACGGTACCGCCTGGGCCTTGTCCTCGGCGCCGCTCTTTACTACAATCGCTTCTCTGGGCTTCGGAAGCGATTCGTGTTTATCGCTTGGCGCAGCACGGACACTGGTCCACAGCTCCGCCATTTTGGGCTCCTGCGATGCCCAGACTCCGCCGCCGAGCTGCCAGGGAGGAGAGGGCGGGGCCATCGCTGTCTATCCAATCGGATAACGTCGTAGGCGCTGCCTTGGGACAATTACTGCCAATCGCGTGATTGAAAGAGGCGTGACGATGCATGTGACGCCAAGTTGTTGAAGTCGGAGAGGCGCATGGGGGCAGGGGCCATTTTGTCAGTGACGCCGTGGAGAGAAGAAGTGGACATGCAGTAGGAGGGTTCCTGCTGAAGCCGGAGAGAGCTGGACTGACAAGACTGTGTGAGGGGAGGCGTGTCTGCTCGGCCGTGTGTTTATGGAGCGCTGCAAACACAAGCGTGGCTGGAAAACCGGAAACGCCAGTGAAACTGCCAGTGAGTGTGTGCAGAGGGGGGCGTACATCTGCGTGTGCAACATGGAGGGTTCTGGAGCATCACGTGCTCCTGGGATGTCACGTGTTTACACTTTGCGTGCTTAAACAAACATAAAAACATGCTCGAGTCATGGGGGAGTGAAACAGGGCATGCCTGCTCATGATGAGAGTAGTAGTATTTTTATTTTTTTTACCATTCCCCAAAAAAGGCGCTATCTAAAATCTACAAATATTTATTAACTCCATACAGTTTCATGTTTAGTCAGAAAAGTGTTCTGTTTTTTTGTGCACGGATACTGATGTTAGTGTGCTTTATCATTTGAATTGTGTATTTTTATCGGTTTAATATTGATTTGACAAACATTTGTGCAATTATTGCAGGACTTACAAAATCAGTAGCACCCTCTTTTTATTCTCCCGGGCCGGGTTCTTCCAGAAAATATATGGTTTGGGGGTCTTCTACAAACACTTGCAACGCAGCAGTAGAGAATCAAAACAATGGGAGAAATTGCAAAAATGTGGCCAACTGTGGTTAAAAGTGTTCTGGATAACTTGGCAGTGAAAGGGTTGAGCATTGGCACATCCTTTATAGGCTAAGGCTATTTTTTTTTTCCTTCAAGATTGAATGTTATGAAATGTATACTGATATTTGGCACTTGCAGAGTGTTTAATTAAACTAATACTTCTCTGGTCATGAAGTTATTGTGAAATATGAAAATCACATCAAGTGCGCATAAAACCCAGTTATATTCAAGGTTTGATAGATTGGGGAAGGTTTAGACCCCCCCCCTGTTAATTTTTGTTTGTATCCCCATGGGGACATTGCTCCTCACTATTGGTTCTGGTGACTATTGTCCATACAGAAATTGACTGGAAATCCAAAACTTGATTTGCTACAGGAAAAGGAGGTGCAGTTAAATCTTCCAATGGGAAAACCGTGTTACAAGTAGCTATGGGGGATATCACTTCACTTTGGAGAGATTGGCTTCTCCTTCCTGCCGTGTCTGTGGGATAGGAAGTGGAGTCTGAGACAATGGGGAAAAACAAAACTGATGGGTCCCCAACTCTATCCAAAACTAAAAAAAAAAAAAAAGCCTTTCTGTACTTTAATAAACTTTGAGTATGTAGTTTAAGGAACACATTTTTCATCCAAATACATTTTACAGCTCAGTGACTCTTGATTAAATAAAGCAATGTGATGCCGTTATAAGTATAATTTTCTGTTACAGCTAATAAAATCTTTGGTGATCTTGTTTAAAGGAGAACTATGAGGTGAGTGCTTTTCTGGATTCTCCGATCCGCCAGCGCTGACTGGCGGATCGGATGGGACGGGTACAGCTTGCTATGCCTCTAGCTAGGCAGAGCCAGCTGTGAGTCAAGCAGCTGGGCGGATCCAGACATAACTGTCGGCATCGGCTTCAGCTGCAGCGTCGTTATACCGCGAGCAGTAGTTTGCGGTATACTGCGCGTCTCAGTATACCGCTAGCTGTAGCTCGCAGTATACTGAGCTTAGGGGATGCCAGTTTGTGTCCTCCCGTTACCTTAAGGAGAACTATGGGGAGAAGCCTTAACCCCATAGTTCTCCTTTTAATATGTGACCATCTTGATTTTTGTTTTTACTGGTTTTCCGAGTACACTTCTTAACCACGTGTACTTATGTTTTAGAGGCATCCTAATATTATTATTATTATTACTACATAGTATTTATATAGCGCCAACAGTTTGCGCAGCGCTTTACAATATAAGGAAGACATAACAGTTACAATACAATTCAAAACAAGATGGTAAGGAGGGCCCTGCCCCTGAGGGCTTACAATCTAAAAGAGGAGGGGGAAATGATACATGAGGTAGCTGTGGGAATGAATTATGTGAGAATGTGAAGGTTCAGTGGTTAGGTTGCGGTGGGATAGGCTTCCCTGAAGAGATGAGTCTTTAGGGAACGCCTAAAGGCAGTCAAGGTGGGAGATAGCATACACACGCTGTTAATGTAGCAAGAGGCATGTCAGGTAAAAGCTGATCAGCTGGAAGTTGAATCTAGGCAAAACTGTAGTCCATCATTGTACAGGAAAGGTGCCCTTTGCTCTTTACATGTTTAAGTGGTAGTGGCACTGTACAAAACCAAGGACTGAGTGCTGCTTATATATCCGATAACATTCCAAAATATAGAGGTAGCATTCACACTTGTCTGTATATAAGTGCATATCAACCCATGCATTGCAACACACATTTTTTTTTTTTTTTTTTTTAATGCCCTTCCATTTTCATTGGAAATGTGTATGCTTAAAAAGGAACAACTTAAGGGAGCCTTAGCTACTATTGCTTGATCTTTAAAATTTAGGTTGAATTTGAATAGCATGTTGAAGGGTTAGAAATGCTGTCTGTCCAATGGGGAGATCTTTCCCCTTATTTCCTGTTCTGAAACCAGGATTACATGCGATGGGAAACCACATAAGTAAATGTTTCTCTTCACATGCCACTTGGGCTGTGAAGACACAGCCCTTTAAAACCTGACAGATGTAATTCTTCAGCTCATTTGTGCAAAAGTTGGGCTTTGACACTTCAAACCCCAAAAGGCCTAATAAACATGAAAAATGAAGTATAGGCAGCTATACCATCCTCAGTTTTTGCCTAGGTCTCATATAAAATTCTAAACTCTTTCATAAAATCTGTTAAAATGCCTCTTAGGTGTGAAGCTGAGGTGGAAGAAATGGAACAGAGAAGCAGTTAATGTGCTAAAGGCTAACCAGCAGAAATATTCGTTTTGGTATAAAAGAACCTAATTCCTACATCTGTGGCATCACAAAAGTGATTTTTGTGCTGGTAACGCCCTCTATTGCACACCCCTAGCATCAGGACAGCTTCTGGTCTCATACTAATGATAAGGAGCTGGCACATGATCGTGTGATAGCCGATCACTAGTTTTAGAAACCCTCTTCTGTACAATTTCTGCCCTGTGAGGAGGGCAGTGTACAATCGATCGACTTTTGACTAACCAGCAGGTTAGAAAACTTTGGTCGATCGTACGATTTTCGCAAGGTTGGTGGCGTTTCCGTACGATTTACACTGCTCATGCGCAAACGAAAATACGTGTGATGAATTACCGCAATTCGTCTAGGTGCTTTTTTTAAATTACTGCTGATTGAGCCTTGCGATAACCGGGGCAGGATGGGGCCGCCGTACGAAAATCGTACGATGGTTCGATCATCGGACGCAAAGTTTCATCTGATGATTGCAAGGTGTATGGGCAGCTTAAAATAGACACACATTGAGAGGAGTTTCGGTTTTAAATGAATAAGGGCTTGATTTAGATCAGTGTTAGTGGCAACATGTTGTAGGTAGGATTTAAAAAGAAAAAAAACAAGGTATAGATATGTGGAATCTTTTTGCACATCAGGAGTAACATTGAGTGTGAGCTTTTTCTTTGGGGAGAGGTCATGGTAATGGCAAAAAAATTAAAAACTTTGTATATATATACATACACATACATATAAAGCCAGTTTCCCTTTGATAATAAAATTAAACAAAATAAATAAAGGAGGAGGTTACTACTTTACAACCAAATGAGAGCCCAAGTTGTCCTTACAAAACAAGGTACAATTCACATTGATACACTAAGTAGCTGCAGCGATAGGAAGAGTTAAAATAATAAATGCCAAAGTTGCAAAACTGGATTCAAACCTTATATTGTATTTCCACTTTTGCAGTCTGTTAGAAAACCCCTCTATGCATTTTATGTGCTCCATTCACACAGCATACACAAAATACGTTTTACAAATAGATTTCTTAACTTTTATCTGTCTTTGGTGAAGGCCTTTGTGCAGAGTCTAAACTACTCTGAGCAGTTTGGAAGTGAAACTAGATGGTTAGACTGAGCTGCTACTCATTAAACACAATGCCCTGAAGGCTTTAACCCTTTGTTAGAACAGACTGTGTTCAAATCTAGTTTACAAGAGATAATGAAGCAACTTCCCACAACCCCCTTCCTTAACATTGCATAGGGGGAAATATAGGTAGGTTTTTTTTATGCACGTAAAAAAACCTCTTAAAAGGAGAACTATGAGGCGAGTGCTTTTCACTCACCTCATAGTTCTAGCCGGCCTGTGACAATGAGACTGTCACAGGTTGGCTCAGTAGATCGGGAAGTGAGCGAACACATACCGGCGTTCGCTCACCTCTCGATCCTGTCATAGCTCTCTGCCGTGGCGGCGTTGGATTCCCCGCACCGATCCGCCAGCGCTGACTGGCGGATCGGACGGGGAGGGGGCCGGTACAGCTGGCTTTGCCTCTAGATAGGCAGAGCCAGCTGTCACTCACACAGCTTGGTGGATCCAGACATAATTGTCGGGATCTGCTTCAGCTGCGGCATCTCAGTATACCGCGAGCAGTAGCTCGCGGTATACTGAGCTTAGGGTGACGGGAGGACGCTAGTTTGTGTCCTCCCGGTACCCTAAGGAGAACTATGGGGAAAAGCCTTAACCCCATAGTTCTTTAAAATGGAAGCAGCACTTTAAGTTATGCCGTGTAAATGGGAACATGTATCAAATATAAAATATGTATTTTCTCAACCTTTGGCTGCAAAATTGGAAATAGGCCAATTTTTTTTACATTTGTCATTAACCCCTTCGTGACTGACGACGTACAGTGTATGTCGCCAGCATCGGGGCTGTTTAAACAGACTCCCGGCGACTTTTGCCGCCGGGACTCTGTTTAAACTTGTAGAGCAGACTGTCGGCTTTACAACAGAAGCGACCCTGGCGACTTACCTGTCGCCAGATCGCTTCTGCGTCCCGAAGAAGGGGCCGCCCCCCCCCGG